AAAATAGCTCTCCCCCCGACTCATCCCGATTTGGCTACTTCCTACAACAATATCGGGTTGATGTATTCTAACATGGCCGAGTACTCAAAAGCACTTTCATCGTATGAACAATCGCTTGAAATCCGTAAAATAGCTCTCCCTCCGAATCATCCCGACTTCGCTCAATCTTACAACAACATCGGTTCGGTGTATTATAACATGGGCGAGTACTCAAAAGCACTTTCATCGCACGAAAGATCACTTGAAATTAAGAAAATAGCTCTCCCTCCGAATCATCCCGACTTGGCTGCTTCCTACAACAACATCGGCTTGGTGTATAATAACATGGGCGAGTACTCGAAAGCACTTACATCGTACGAACGATCACTTGAAATCGCAAAGAAATCTCTTCCTCCAAGCCATCCGAACTTGGCCCTGCCCTACAACAACATTGGGTTGGTGTATAATAACATGTGCGAGTACTCGAAAGCACTTTCATCGTATGAACGATCACTTGAAATCCGTAAAATAGCTCTCCCTCCGAATCATCCCGATTTGGCTGGTTCCTACAACAACATCGGTATGGTGTATGATAACATGGGCGAGTACTCAAAAGCACTTTCATCGTATGAACGATCAGTTGAAATCTATAAAATAGCTCTCCCTCCGAATCATCCCGACTTGGCTACTTCCTACAACAACATCGGATTGGTGTATGATGAAATGGGCGAGTACTCGAAAGCACTTTCATCGTACGAACGATCACTTGAAATCCGTAAAATAGCTCTGCCTCCGAATCATCCCGACTTCGCTCAATCTTCCAACAACATCGGTAATGTGTATGCTAATATGGGCGAGTACTCGAAAGCACTTTCATCGTACGAACGATCACTTGAAATCAGTAAAATAGCTCTACCTCCAAATCATCCCGACTTGGCTACTTCCTACAACAACATCGGATTGGGGTATGGTGAAATGGGCGAGTATTCGAAAGCACTTTCATCGTACGAACGATCACTTGAAATCCGTAAAATAGCTCTCCCTCCGAATCATCCCGACTTCGCTCAATCTTACAACAACATCGGCTCGGTGTATTATAACATGGGCGAGTACTCAAAAGCACTTTCATCGTATGAACGATCAGTTGAAATCCAGAAAATAGCTCTCCCTCCAAATCATCCTGCCTTGGCTTCTTCCTACAACAACATCGCTGTGGTGTATGATGAAATGGGCGAGCACTCGAAAGCACTTTCATCGTATGAACGATCACTTGAAATCAGGAAAATAGCTCTCCCTCCGAATCATCCCGACTTGGCTGCTTCCTACCTCAACATCGGTACGGTGTATAAGAACATGGGCGAGTACTCAAAAGCACTTTCATCGTATGAACGATCACTTGAAATCCAGAAAAAAGCTCTCCCTCCGAATCATCCCAACTTGGCTGCTTCCTACAACAACATCGGTATGGTGTACGATGAAATGGGCGAGTACTCGAAAGCACTTTCATCGTATGAACGATCACTTGAAATCAGGAAAATAGCTCTCCCTCCGAATCATCCCGACTTGGCTGCTTCCTACCTCAACATCGGTACGGTGTATAAGAACATGGGCGAGTACTCAAAAGCACTTTCATCGTATGAACGATCACTTGAAATCCAAAAATAGCTCTCCCTCCGAATCATCCCGATTTGGCTTCTTCCTACCTCAACATCGGTACGGCGTATGGTAACATGGGCGAGTATTCGAAAGCACTTTCACATTTTGAAAAAGCTCAAGAAATCTTCCAAAAATCACTTCCTGCAAATCATCCATATATTGCGCTTCTGAAAAGAAACATTGAAATTGTAAAAAGGAAAATGTAATTGTCTTTTTTTTTGATTTTAAAGAGAAAATAAATTGGCCTTCTTGAATTCTAAGCTCGCCGAAGCAAGCAGCTGCAAAATTTCGCGCACGCGCGACCAGAGATACCCTCCGTATTCTGCCGGCTCGTACAGTGGACAAAGCCGGCAATGGTTATGCAAACATACATCGATGTACGTATAAATAGTACAACCATGATCATCATCTTCGAAAAGACGATGACGAAATGGACGCTTCTATTCATACATACATTGATGTATGCAGTGGCGGCGGAGCGTCATTAACCTAAGTGAGGCTCATAATATTTTTTTCTATGGTGAACTTTTAATAAAACATGAAGCAAAATATAAGTCTTCTTTTTATTAGACCTCAGTAAAAACTACAACGGTCATCGTGAAAACAAAACGAATCAGAACGTACCAAAAAATAACTTTCTCTGTTCGTTCTTCGATGCAAAAGTTGAACAGAGACTTTTCAGATCAATAGAATCTGTCTTTTTTTTGTATATATGTGTCAAAAAGACACTATTTAAACGAGTTTGTGTCATCGTCGATCGCAAACATGTCTTCATTCGGTTCATCACTGAGAAAGATCGTTCTGCAGCAGCTGTGGTCACTGGTAGCGTCAGATAAAGCCATAGAAGACGATTAAATTGATGAAATATTGTTTTTCCTATTGGTTGTACGTTCAATACATCGATAATTGTCGATATTTTCGTGATTGTTTTTATTCCCAGCTGTTTTTCACGAATAACTGTTTGAAAAAAATCGGGAATCATTGCACATTCTTGTTTCAATCTGTCACAATCAATATCGCCGACTGTAAACTCTTGTATTTCAGCGCAAAGTTTATCAATAATACTAGCATCAGAGCCATTTGCAACCGTGATTAAAAACCCTTGAACTTCACATAACAAAGGAAAAATAGATTGCTTGAACCGATTTTTCAGTGCTTTGAGTACTTCATCAATTACATTTTGATACTCTTTTTTGTATAATTCGGTGCAGGTTGACGATGCTTCAGGTATTCGTGTGGTATCAGTAATAAATCGAGAAGGCGGTCGACGAATGCGTGGCAGTCGTGGTTCATCCGTTAAGTATTCTGATTCAACTACCACTTTTGAGTAGAAATTTTCAAAATACTCATCTGATTTAGTTCTAGTAAAATAGCTAATTAGAACATTGACACCACAGAGCACATCGTGTAAACTATTGTCCACACGTTGTAACGACCAAGAAAGTTCTTCAGTAGCCACGAAAATGAGATGACCTAATCATATAAAACAAATTGAAAAATATTTTCGAAACAAATTTCTAGCTGAGAATGTAAACAGCAGATTTCATCTGAGTAAAGAAAAATTTTCAAGAAACTTTACCTAATTTAAGACCAAAAAATGTTTGGAAATTTTGCATTTGATTCAACCAACCAGCAGCTGTAATACCCGATGCACCTTTTTGATCAACCACTTCTTGCATCACAGATTTGACAAGCTGATAATTAGTCAGTAGTGAGTTCATTGATGATGCTCTAACAGTCCAACGAGTTGGACACAAAGGCTTCAGTTGAGAGGAACTAATAGACAAATCATAAGAGAGTTTCTCAGCAATGTTTAAACGCTTTGGCGATCTTCGAACAAAATTTACTATGTCCTTCGTAATATTGATAGCTACATTGATAGCAATTGACTCCTTTGCCAGATCTTGTAAAGCCAAATCAAGGCTATGTACGTTACAATGCACAAAATATGCTTTCTTTTGTTTCCGAAGTATATTAGCTGCTACACCATCATGAATGCCACTCATCGTTGCAGCACCATCATATCCTTGTCCACGACAAGCATCAAGACTCAAATTGCAGCGAAGAAGAACATCAAGAATAACCGTTGTGATATGTTCAGCATTTTGAGATTCTAGTTCATAAAGACCAAGACAATCTTCGTGTATACCAAAACACTCATCTACCGATCGAATTGAAATGCTCAGCTGTGTTTTACCAGATTCATCAGTTGATTCATCACAAATAAGAGCAAAAAATGGTCTCTTAGATATCTAGAGTGCATAAAAACAATCATCGTCTAGCACGAGAAGTTTAACCTTCAAATTTACCTCAACACATATACTTCTTAAAATAATCAGTGCCATTTCTTTGGCCAATTCATTGATAATATCGTGCGACAAATATTTTTTATTATCCAACCACTGATGAAGACCTGGAGTATCGG